TCTCATCATTAGAATGTCTTTTTGTGGCTCAGTAATATTTCCATTTAGTATTTTTTTTAAAGTAGAGAAGAAGAAAAGTTTTTTCCTAACTGATTTTCATTTTTCTCTTTTCTCTTTTAGTTTCTCTATTTTCTATATTTCACTATAGAATTGTATTATTTTTTAAAAACTTATTTATAATAAACAGTATTTGTTTATGGTAAAATAAATTTTGTAAATAAGAATTCTAAATTAAAATCTTAAAAAAGGAAACATTTTAACTATTCTTTTTTCAAGTCCCACTCATTGAGTTAATCAGTGTTAAATTTTGTGTATTTCTGTGTGTATTTCTAACAAACATATTAGTATATATGCACATGCATACATACACATGTGCTCACTTTATATGAGAATATTCTTTAGTTCCTTTTTTATTTAATAAAACATTTTATATCTTAATCCTTTAATGCCCACATTCAGTTTAATTTTAGAATCAGTTAGTTTATAACCACTTCCCTATCATTTGATATTCAGTTGTTCCCAGTGTTCTATTACTATATATACATTTTTCTGCATTCTTATTCATGCAAATGTTAGGAAGGTAAATTTTAACCAGATAATTGCTAAGTCAAATTGTGAATATGTTTCGATTTTTTGACATAATTTACAAAGTTTCCTTTCCAAAAGGAAGCTTCTACCAATTTGTCCTTTCAGTCTCAACTATGAAACCCCAACAATACAAAGATATTATCAGCATTTGTGACTGTTGAATCTAGAATTTATTTCAGTGTGAAGGGTGTGTTGGAGAGTCAGCTATTATTAATTATTATTATTATTATTATTATTATTGATATATAGTCAGTTGCCCTAACACTATTGATTAAATAATAAATAGCTGGATATAGACATAGATATAGTTATGGCTGTTTCCCTATCCTTAAAAATCAGTGTTTCTTGAAGTGTGGTTGCTAGATCTCTAGGGGGACCCTGTGATCTTTACTGGAAGCTTATGTAGAAAATAGTATTTTTTTTTACTGTTGCACTTGCAGTGATGGTGCAAAGCAATGGTGGATAAAACAGGCAGCACCTTAGCACAAAACAAAGCTGTGACATTAAATTGTACTATCAGTCTGTATTCTTCTCTACTTGCTTCACTAACATGTACCCAACAGTGAAAAACAAACAAAAAAAGCAATGTCACTAAGAGTATCGTCAGTAAATCAGTAAAAATGATCAAATTTTAAGATCGTCAAAGTTGAGTACTGTATTTTTAATATTCTGTTGACAGAATAAAGAAATCCCATAAAGTATTTCTGCTGCTTCCTATAATACAGAGTTTTTCTCAAAGTAAAGGACTTGCGTGATTGAGTCTTGTACTGAACTTGCCACTTTTTTCATGGAATATAAAAAGCATGACTGTTAACACAAACTCTGGTTATTCAGACTTGGGTATTTGGCAAACATTTTCTTTAAAAATCAGGGAAGTTGAACCTCCCATTCTAAAGAAAATACCTTTGCCATATTTGTTACTAATAATAAAATTAAATTTTAAGAGGAAAATGAGAATTTTTGGAAAATCTGCTCACATTAAGCATGATGGCTTCCCAACACTTAAAGACTCTTCTGAAGAGATTGGCAGTGAAATTATTAAATATGCTCTTTTTTTTGGTATTGTGTGATGAAATGCATGAATATTTAGAAGATCTGCATAAGTCAGTGAATTCATATTTTCAAATGATTGATGTGCCATATTACACAATCATGTATGAGTGAGAGATCCATTCAAAGTGCAAGATAAACCAATGGATTTTAATGTAACAGAATAGAAAAAGTTCACTGGTATGGTTTTAGAATTCACTCTGAAAACATTAGGAAACTACCATTGTAGAGTTTTAGTGTAGTATCAAAGGAGACTATCCACAGTGATCTGAAAAGGCTACTGAAGTACTCCTCCCTTTCCAAATAAATATTGGTGTGAGGCCAGATTTTCTTCATATATTTGAAACAAAACATTTTGTAGCAACAGATTTCATGTAGAAGCTAATATGATTATCTAGTTGGCTCTTTTTCACTAAACTGGATATTAAAGAGATTTGCAGAACTATGAACAGTTCCATTCTTGTGGCTCCTGGGTGGCTCAGTCGGTTGAGCCTCTGGCTGTTGATATCAGCTCAGGTCTTGATCCCAAGGTAGTGGGATCCTGCCCTGTTGGACTCTATGCTGAGCATAGAGCCTGCTTAGGATTCTCTCCTTCTCTCTCGCTCTCTCTCTCTCTCTCTCTCTCTCTCTCTCCCTCTGCCCTTCTCCCCAGCTCACATGCTCTCTCATTCTCTCTCATAAGTAAATAAATAAATAAGATAAAATAAAATAAAATAAAATATAAAACGGTTCCATTCTTTTTACTCAATTATTTTTGGTTGTGGAAAATATAGTCTTCTGACTAAAAATATCCCTTGTGTTAATATGTCATCAATTTATTAATATAATTTGAAATGAGTTAATAATACATAGTTTAATATTACCTCAGTTTTAATTTGTAATACAGTAATTATGAATGGATAGAATCAATCAAAATGAACAAAAGTTATTTAAGGTCTTAAACAGCTTTTAAGAGTATAAGGTCATTTTAAGACAAACAAGGTTATAACTGCTGCTATGCCTCATAGTTTTTTCTCTCCCTGTTTTTCTCTCTTTTCTCTCTGATTCTGTCACACACACACGCACACACACACACAGAGGCACACACACACTCACACACACTCTTACATACTTTCTGTCTCCCCTATTGCTGAATGATTTCTAGTATTGTAACAGTATAATGCAACTTAATCATTGTATCTTAAAATTTTTTTAACGTTTTTATTTATTTTTGGGACAGAGAGAGAGAGAGCATGAACGGGGGAGGGGCAGAAAGAGAGGGAGACACAGAATCGGAAGCAGGCTCCAGGCTCTGAGCCATCAGCCCAGAGCCCGACGTGGGGCTCGAACTCACAGACCGCGAGATCGTGTCCTGAGCTGAAGTCGGACGCTTAACCGACTGAGCCACCCAGGCTCCCCTCTTAATAACATTTTTAATTTCTGAAAGTGCTAGGCCATTTCCAAAATTGATTTATACCGAACTTACTTTTTATAATATGAAATATATATTATTCAAAATCAATTTTAGTATTATGATAGCCAAATAAATTTGGCATCTTAATTGGAATTAATTTTTTTTTACATTTATTTATTTTTGAGAGACAGAAAAAGGCAGACTGCAATGGGGGAGGGGCAGAGAGAGGAGATACACAATCCAAAGCAGGCTCCAGGCTCTGAGTTGTCAGCACAGAGCCCAGAGGTGGGCTGCAACTCACAACCCATGAGATCATGACCTGAGCTGAAGTTGGACACTTAACTGACTGAGCCACCCAGACGCCTCTTAATTGGAATGATTTATCTTAGATTACATCTTAGAGATATCGATTATCTTAGAATTGGCATCTGTTTATGCAAGAAAAAAATATGTAATTTGTTTATTTAATCTACTTTTTTTGTTTACTTGTAGACTCTGAAATTTGAATGAAAACATAACCCTAGATATTTCCTTGGAAATACAACTTGTCAAACCAGTGCCCTTGTTACATCTTGTCTTTTTATGAGCATATTAGTAATCAGCTTATAAATTGCTTAAAGTCAGGAGTCTTGCCATTGACTTTTGTCTATATTCCATACACACAGAACATGTTGAATAAGAACTTGATACTTATGTTTGTGAATTACTCAGTTTTTATAAATCTCTAAGTAACATTTTCATTTCATTCACAATTAAGGACAAACATGATTATATTCATATTGATACTTTAATGATGTGGAAAACTTTTTAAAAATACTTTTAACATCATTAGATTATAAATTTTAATTAATATATAAACATAGTATAGCTAATGGGGGGAGTATTATAGGATTTCAATTTTGAAGACTCAGTCTTTAGTTTCATTTTCATTTCTTCTTCTATGTTTAACCAAGGATTTCTGTCAACCACTTCTCAACCTAAAAGTAAAAACAAATGAACAAAAATATCGTATACAGCAGGGGCAAGGAGAGAAATAAAACCAAGTTGTTTTTATTTCCCATTTTTTATCACTTTACATTACCATCATGTGGCTTTGTTCAGGTTTTATAAACTAAAATACACAAAATTTGAGTTGAATGCCAGTCTTTATTGCTAGCCAAAACTAAGTCTGTTATACACAGCTGTGTTTAAAAGAATGCTATTGTTTATAATGGAGTGTTTTATATATTCAAAGTGTTTTGGCACTTTAGTAAAAATGCTGTCTTTGAAAAAGTTTGCACATTTTTTGAAAATAATTATTGATATAAAATAAATTATTTTTATCAGAACAGATATGTCATTTATGGACTTATTAAAGCAAAGCCATTAGAAAAAAAACCCAGAACTTTTAACAACCAGTATATATATATGTGTGTGTGTGTGTGTGTATATACACACACACACACACACACACACACACACACACACACACATAGTCTCAATAAGCCATTAGAGTCACATGCTTAAATTATCCAAATCAAAGAGGAAATTTAAAATAAAATAATGAAGCATGTCCAAAAAGAAATTGAGAGCCTTCCTGTATTAAATAAATAAAAAGTACCTTAGAGCGTTTGAAAAATATGGAAGTTTAAATTCTCAACAAAGAGAGAAACTAATCCATATCTCCAACATATTACATATGTTTAACTCCTTTTATGTTATATTTATATTGCCTTACACACTGATTAAGCTATGCATGAATTCTATGCAATTGAATAAGAATTGTATACACTACATATACTATACAATAATGGAATTGCTATCAAATTTTTATAATTCAGTTGTGCACATAAACTTAAAATTTTTTCCCAGCAATTTGCCAGGAATGGCATATAGCATCTCTGAAAGCAAACTTCAAATGAGTAATGGCTATTTGATTTTTCTTTGGAAAACCAACCTAAAGTAACAATCTTTGTTGATGCTTGCTCAGATCAGGTGGACCAAAACAGCAGGAAGTGCCTCTGACAGATTCCAAGACTCAAGTGTCTTCAATGAGACTTTGAGGATTACAAATATTCAGCGACACCAAGGAGGCCGGTATTACTGTAAAGCAGAAAATGGCTTGGGGTCCCCGGCGATAAAGTCGATCAGAGTGGATGTGTACTGTAAGTAACTTACCCAGAAAACTATGATTAAGTCTACTATGGGTTTTCGTCTGACAGCTTGAGATATATTTTCTTTTCATCTTTATGTCTTTCAGAAAAATTATGGTTTGTTCCCCCCCAAATAGCCTTCTGTTTAGTTGAGGATAAGAGTGTATAAGATAATTATAGCTCATTTAATATATTTCCTGAAGAAAGAATCTGTTTTAGAAACTTTCGTAATTTTTTGTGATAAAGTAATACATGTTAATCATTTAAGAACCAGAATAACAAGAAGACAATAAATGTTACTGATCATCCCACCCATGATTGTTAGAGTTTGAGTGTATATACCTCCTATCTTTATGTGTATGTATATAAATACATTTGTAATTACATAAAGAAAATACTATGCGATACATACTGTAACTTGTTTTGTTAACTTTCCCTCTGTGTGAAGTCAGCTGGTCTTGTGTTTGGAAAGGCACATCATGTAAGTGGTATTTGGATTGGCTTGTGAATGACCAAAATCTCTAGGTAGAGTCTGCTTTCGGTCCACCTCTGTGGAAAGTAACCAGTACCTTGGGCAATGCTGTGCCACCCGTAAAGTGTTTGTTGATTTATTTTGGTTGTCAGTCTCGTTTTTCCACTTTTTGCTGTTAGCAAATGGTTCTTAGGCTCATTTTTTCACATTTTGCTTTTAGCAAATATACTTAAAATGTTCTTCTTCTCCTTATCTTCTTCTCCACCAAAACAAATCAAGGGCCTACTTTTCATTTCATCCTTTTGCACAGGTTTATCCATCATTCCGTTGTCTTTTTATGAGAACTTGCATTTTTTTTAACTCTCTACTAATTAGAATAAAAAAGGTTTTTTCTCCTCCAAGTAATTCAGACATAGTAACAAGTGAGGAGTTCCTGTTTCTCTGCCTTTCACTGTGTCCCTTTTGATGTGCAACAAGAGATACATTGTTAGGAAGGTGACTGGAATTATACATGATTTCTTTATTGCACCATTTGCTGAATCTTGTTTAGTTATTCAGGTGACTGGGAGGTGCGTAACAGGGCTGCATTTGTGATTCATCTTCCACTCTTGGATGCTTGTTCCCTTCCTGGAAAAGAGGAGAGAGAAGTCCTGTCCCATTCTCTCTAGCATCTCCAGCCCCTTAGGCATCCCCTGGCATAATTTAGGCATCTGCATCCTGTGTGCATCCATGTGCATCTAGGGCACACAGGTTGGCCTTACTCATTTACCACCTAACCACAGTATAGCCTCTGGCCCTTCTCCTAATCACATATTTCCAGTTAGGTTCCTTAAAAACAAAACAAAACACTATTTTTACTAGTTTTGTTCACATATAACCTTTTAAAGTTTTTATTTAAATTACGGTTAGTGTAACAGACAGTCAATACTAGTTTCAGGTGTACAGTTTAGTGATTCAGCACTTAATGTACATCACCTGTTGCTTGTCACAAGTGCCCTCCCAAATTCCCAGCACCTGTTTTACCCATCCCCCCCCCCCCCCCCCCCTGGGAGCCACCAGTTTGTTCTCTAAAGTTAAGAGTCTGTTTCTTGGTTTGCCTTTCTTTATTTCTCTCTCTCTCTCTCTCTCTCTCTCTCTCTCTCTCTCTCTCTCTCCTTCTCTTTTTGCTTGTTTCTTTTGTTTCTTAAATTCCACATATGAGTGAAATCATATGGTATTTGTCTTACTTTGACCTATTTGACTTAGCATAATACTCTCTTATCTCCATCCATGTCATTGCAAATGGCAAGATTTCATTAGAAATTACAATGAACAGCCACTCTGGAAAACAGCATGGATGTTCATATATTTTGTAATTAAACTAAATTTAATCTAGTTTACCTAATTACATAATTATGTACTTCTATTATTTAACATTCTAGAGTACATTCCTGTGCTTTTTTGTTCTTATAATTTTGGTCGTGACGTTTTAAAACACACAACTTCAATAACTTAAACACGATTCTAAAATCTAAAAAGTTCTGTAAATTAAATGAGTGTATTTTATTTTGCTTTGTTGGGCGTTATTGGTAAATTTTTTCAGTGAAACCTGATGTGAACTTGTTTGATGGCAACCACTGCTCTAAAATTACTCAAATAGAAAAACAGGAAAGACTTTATGCTCTTTATTTACCCTACTTTGTATGAATAATCATATGTTTTACTCAGGAAATTATATATTTGATTACACAGTATTGCCACAGAGCCTGCTGGATGGATTACGTAATACATGGTATATGTACTGTATTATCTTCTGAAAAGCTGAAGTATTCTGAAAAACATTCCCCAAAGGTTTTGAATATGAGATTGTGACTTTCATTGCCACCACAATAGGTTTAGTAATAATTGAAACAATTACATTGCTGGGTTAAAAATCAAAGATAAAGGGGAAACTGACATTGTTAGGACTTAAAAAAATATTTTTTCTCCCCCTTATACTACAAAGCCATCTCTGTACTATTCTGCATTATGCCCACCCTTTTCCATCTGTTCACATCTCTTGCTGTCCAGACTCAGTTGCACATTTTGGTAGAAATGATAGCACTGTTCCTTGCAGCACTCCAAAGCCCCGTTGGTCTTTTAAGACTTGGGTCACCTTCAAGACAGCCAGGAATGAAAGCACTGGCTTGTTTCCTTTTTCTTTGCCTTCCTTTGGGATTTTTCCCATACAACCAGGACCTGACAAACACCTTATTCTGTCACTGAAGGGAAATGTCACTGTGATACATATCAGAGTGAAGTACTTCCAGTACTTTTCTTTGTGCCCAAGATTTATTAGAAAGCTGCCTAAAATTATTTGATTGGAGAAAATAACATGTATTAAATTGTGGACCATATGAATAAATGTGACATTGCTGAAATATAAATTTTCCAGATAATGCCTTACCTTCAGGAAAGATCTTTGTTTGTGGAATCTAGACATGTGTTCTAAGTGATTATACCTATTCTTAAAGGTCTGGATAAATAAATTCCTCCAGATAGTAAATTGTTAAGTGTTTAACTCATGAGAATACTTTACAGTAGAGACAGCTATGCCTACTTGAGGAATCCATGTGTTCCAAATATAACCTTGACTGAAGACTGGTTTTTAGGCTTAAGTATGTGTTCTCTGCATGAATCATTATAATTTAAAACCTGTTCTGTCATTGTTAATAAGAACATGACTAGCATAGAAATTCTGCATGCGTTTAAATTGGGCAACCTTGTTAAAAAATTGGATTATAGTCTTAAGATTCATCTGTGCTTGGATTTTGATTTGATGTTGGACTATTTGATTGAATAGATACTCATTTTGATAAACCATAAATGACAAAGCAACTTTATTTCAGATACTTTTGCTCTATTTTAAGAAATGCTAAAATAACAGCACTGATTTTTCTGTTTGGATCCATGGTTTTAGATCATTACCTAAACTGTAGATTTCTATATCTTTTCACAACTGGTTCTCTGAGTGGAACTGTCATCAATATCAACAGAACTTGGAACACAGGATGGGCCTACGATACAAAATATAGAAAAATCTGCAGATAAGGACTATACTTGCAGTAACAAACTGAGGCCATAATGGCTCGAATTTAACAAAAATTCTAATAAACAGTATTATAATTTAGCCTTGAATCCCCTGTAATAGATTATCTCTAAAATGTGCCCAACAAAGTATTAATATTAAGGCCACTATTTTTATGGAGAGTTTTCCTAACAGTGAAAATGTACATCTCTCATTAAGCCCTGTATTCTAATAATAAATTTCTAGAGTTTAAAGCTAATACCAACCTAAAATAAAATTTCGTGATAGCTCATCATTAGTTTGATGAGGAAATTTCATTTTAGAAAAGGAACCTGCTACAATGCTGATTGATATATATGGTTTTTATTAGATAGATATTTTTAAATATTTGTTACTCTGTATTAATGTTCTGATCAATTTGGGCAGATTTATTAATCTGAATTAGTAATTTTGTCCCACAAAATTATCTGAAGTTTCTTGTAGTAGAAAAATTGGACTGTATAGGTTTTATAAAGCAACTACCAAATGTTCTTTTATCTATTTATTTACTTTTACTATTTCAACCAAGAATACTGTTTTCTCTGTGTTACTATTTTGACAAAATTTAACTATATTCCTTAACTTATATGACCTATCACTTGTTTTCCTAAGAATTATAAAAGTATCCAAGCATTCTATGAGCTATAGTTTCTTAATAAAAGTATATTTTATAACTAGGGAGATTTCATAGCCATGTAATGATTTAATTGTTTTTTCTAAAATCTGCCCTAGTCATTTATTTAATATTTCTGATTAAAAGCTAATCAATGCAATCCTTCTTTTGCTGGGATATGTCTTCTGAGAGTTTGATAACTAATAGTTATATGCTTGAAAGAAACATGTAGAATTAGTTCTACTTAAAGTTGCTGCTTAAACATATGTATTCTTTATGCCTTCTCTCTAGAACCATGTTAAAGCAATGGTAAGGGAATAAAACAACAACAAATACATACAGGATAGAGAGAATGGGAGAGGAGATGAAGGAAAAACAATTTTGAAGGAACAGAATCAGATCAGGAAATGGCCACTGCTTATTTAGCATACTAAAGAAAGCTTAAATCAAAGCCATCAGTTTACAGGACAGAACTGGCATACTCATGCAGTAGAATCCTTCAAAAGCTCAGCAATTGGAGACACCACTTAGCTCCTGAGTGTGAATGTAATTTAGTGTAAAAGCAGAACTGGCTCAAAGTCTATACCAGAAGAGTTACACACCCAGATCTCCTTCCACATTTCACACAATTCTATGCCTCCTTTTTCCACCAGCTTCCCAGTCAACTCCTACAGAAGACTAGAATTTATTTATTTAGTTAGTTAGTTAGTTTGTTTGTTTGTTTGTTTGTTATGTGAGGTGTTGAAACTGAGAGACTTTGAACTAAGAAACCTGGAATCATCAAAAACAGGAGGTAACTTACTGCACTTAAATCAGGGTTATTAAGTCAAAGTTTACATATT